GGCTGTTGCCGTGCAGCGCTTCAAGAGCTGACCTGCGTCTGACCTCAAAGTGCACAAGCTTCAAACTTCAGCGTTGGATGCGATTTTGAAGCTGAAATCGCGTTCGGTGTGAACGCACCATAAGTCAACATTTTAACCCATTTTTGGGGTAAAAAACTTAACCCAGTTTGTTTGGTCAAACTCATAATCCAAGTTGTTGGCTTGGTCCAAACCTTGGTTGTTTTGAACCCAGCAGTTTTTAATGTTTACAGACACATTTACAGTGTACACATCAGTGAAAATTTAAAGTTTAGAGATGTCCTCTTTATTTATCTTCAAATTATACTATTCATATAGAGATATACAGAAGTGTTTAATGTATCCATGTTGTCCCAATCCGACAGGCCTGAGCAGTGACAGTGGTCTGGGTGGCAGCACAGATGGCAGCACAGACGTCCTGGTGTTCGGCTCAGTGGTGGGCAGTGTCACAGAGGAGGGTAAGTCCAGTTCAGGGACACTTAACAGCACAGAATCACTACAAAGCATATGTGGCCGATATTCCGTGAACAGCCTCTGTGTTCATGGTGCCCACAGAGTGTGAGGTGTCTGAAGACTCAAGTGGTGAGGCTGAGCTGGAGGCAGAGCCAGAGACGTCTGATCCAGAGGACGTGAAGGAGCTGGATCCTGGAGCGCTGCTCTACAAAGCCTCGAAGGCTCGCAACCTGCCAGTCATGGCTGAAGCTCTGGCTCACGGCGCAGATGTTAATTTGATTAATGATGATGATGAGGGAAAGACTCCTCTCATCCAGGCTGTGATTGGGGTTAGAGTCCTTTATGTCACATTTCTGTGTAATAGGCACTTTTTAGTGTTGAACTTGAAAATAATAAAATCACCTTTATTTATAAATTAGAGTCAACTGAARAAAGCTAGTTTCTCATTGCATGTGACAAGCTGCAAAGGAAAACTGCACAACTGTTCTTTTGTTTTAGGGTTCACTGGTCGCCTGTGAGTTCCTTCTGCAGAACGCTGCAGATGTGGACCAACGAGATGCAAGAGGGCGGGGCCCACTGCATCATGCCACATACCTGGGACACACAGGGTGAGACAGGCCCAGTATGGGAGCTGGTCACMTCATCTCTCACTGCATGTCTCACTAACTGTCTCATTGCATTTCACAATGCATGCACTGAAAAGAATAACTTGTAAGATGTACTTGAAAAAAATCCTCTAACAAATTTGCACTAACGTCT